TTAGGATACTTCCTCTTAGAATCTTCTTCATAACAACTTGTCATAACATGGACTATTTATATTAATAATTTTTTCTTTTGTTTTTAGATGGACAATCAGACGAGGCGAGTAGAATTTTATTTGGATCCTCAATTATGACTTATGAGTTAGTTATAATAAATATGAGGTTGATTTAAAATAGGTCAATAGGAAGATAACATGAAATTAATTAAACACAAAATGCGCGCATGAAACTCCAAACATCATTTATTGAAGCAAATACTCCCAAGTCTTAAATATACAGAAGTGGTAAAACTAACACCAAAGAACTACAACAAAATTAGGTTGAATCAATAAGTTCATTATTTTCAGAACAGAAGTCAAATTGCCCATAATCATTTTTAGAAATAACCAATTAGGTAGTCTTGTTAGTGTCCATGAGGAACTAATATAGAATCATTATTCGAGGCTAATTAACATAAATTTAGTCTTATTTATAAAATTGTGAAATAAATTAGAGAGTGTTTTCTCTTGTATCCAATGCTTGTGTCCATCGATCATTTAGGAGGGACTATATGAACTTTTGTAACAAGTAATCAAGCTTATAATAATAACAGTTTCTTTGTCCAACAAAGCTTGTATTATTGGCTTGAAGTTCCGAATATGCATTACAGTCCTCAACAATAAAACCTTGCTGCAGGTGTGCTGGTTCCTTAGGCAGATTATTTTCTGGTATTGTGTTCTCAAATTCCAAAATACCATTTCCTTCTTGAATTTGCACCTCAACTGGATTTTAAACGACATTGATAGGATGATTGATCATCCCATAGTACTCATTCCACATTTGCGTTAGTTCAGGATCATTACATTCTAATAGAGCATTGATTTTCTATTCATCTGATGAAGACTACTCTTGAATTTGTAACACTGGTTCAACAATGTTGATAGGAGTGATAGCCTTATATTCCTGATCCATCCGCGGCTCAACAGAATTTACCCCTGAAATCACCTCTGTATCCAACTTCTGTTCATCAGGTTATGTTGAAAGTTTAAAAAAGGATTTTAGGTTGTAAGGTGCCACAACGTCTGGTGTTCCATTCCACAGTAATTCTGTGTATTTTTGGTAGGCTTGCTCAGAGGGATAAGAAGAGTAAAAAACAAAGTAATCTTTCACATTCTTACATAACTCGTACTCTTTTACCTCCCTCTTCTCTCCACAACTAAGATGCCCTCGAAATGGACCCGTTCCACAACAAGCCGTCTCTGATATCTTAAAACCTAAACAAAACGGAACAATTTCCTCAACGATTTTCGTGCGTGTTTTCTCTCTAATAGACTTTTTAAATTTGATTTTCTATGAATTTCTAATTATCATAAGTATATATATTTTTTGGGCTCAAATAATTAGTCATTCGTTATTGTCCTTCGTCTCAATAATATGAAACCTCTCAACAATTTCCGTTCTTTTATGAGGTCCCATTGAAATAGGTTGGCCAAAGCCTTTCCACCACCCCCACCCCACCCCGTCCAGAAAAGATAACAAAAGATTAACTTTTTCTTAATTTTATGTGAACAATCGTATCTTAGATCGAAAGATTTTTCGTGCTATATACCTTCTATGGCTTCACACTCTTGGGGTGTTTACAAATATAGTCTGTGGCGTTGCTTCTGCAAGCTGGCCCAATACATTGTATCAAACACAACCTTGTATAATAAATAGTGAATGTAGGAGAGTGAACATACCCTAGACTTGTTGGAAGTTTGTTAATTACTAATCCAAGTTCAAAATTTATAATTAGTTGCTTAAAAGTAATTAATTTAAAGCATTAAGTGAAATATTGTGACTTTTTTCATAGTTCAAAATAAATGATATCTCTAAAGGAACGGACAATCAATCACAAATCTTTCTCCAATTGCATATGCAATATGAAAATGTACATTGCATGTTTCAACAAAAGATTTACTCTTTATAAATAATCAAACACAAGAAAAGAAATAACAGTAGATATCAAACTCCTAGTGCATCAAGTTTCACATTTCTCTCTTTTTTCTTTACAAGTATATGGACACGTGCGTTGCACGTGTATTTCATAACGATGAATATGAACTATTAAAAAATCACATAATTTCTTTTAAAATAGTATGTCAGTTACAATAAAAATATGAAAAGTAAAATGATAAATGTTTGTAGTGTATAGTTAATTCATAGAAGAATTTTTTTTGCATTTAGTCCTTCCCTTATTATAATTTTGATAGATAAATTTTACATTTGTTTTAAAAGACAAAATAAAGTAGCAAAAACAAACATAGAGGCACACTACATTAATTAGTAAAAGATGAAATTCTCCTTCTCATTAAGTAGAATGTAATTAAGTAATTCAAATTTATAAATAAGGAAACTTAATTAGAAGGAAATAACTAAAGAATTAAAGTGCAACGATTGGTATTTAAATTCTACCATTATATAATTAAAATATTAATATTTAATTAAATAAATCAGATTTTAATTTAGTGGAGAGCCAAAATGACAATATTAATATTTTTACAATTAAAAGTTTGTTAAAATATATTTTACATTTTTTTGTTAAAAATATAATAGGAGCAATATTTGGTGGTTAAAAGATCTTCTAACTTCTTAAGCATTTTGGTGTATCATTTTTTTGACTTTGGGATTTGGATCTCATGATAATTTTAATGAAAATTGTCTAAAAAATATAGATTTTATCCACAAGCACAAGTAAGAATAATTATTTACAAATATTTAAAATTTAAGGTGCAAAAAATGTAATTATTAATAATTTGAAATTAGAATATCTTGTAGGCATTAATTGTCTGTTTTTACATGCCTTATACACTGTTTTTATGATTCTATTTGTTTTATTTTCTATAGCAAAAAATACAACATTCAATCAAATACATTCTTAAAATGAAATTACAAGTACAAAGAAAAAATATCATATATAGGAGCAAGTTTAGCATAAGGCTATCAACAAAAATAGAAAAATACTAAGACAATCTTTTTCCTGCTTTTTATTGATAATGCAAATTAAAGCAAAGCTATAGTAATAAACATTCAACCTTTGACCATAAAAAAAGAGTTAAAAGTTTTGGAAGACAAGTTAACGGAAGTGACATTCATGATTCAATTACATAAATGGAGGGGTCTTATCATAGTTCTAATCTCGGCAAATAAGTAAAAAAATAAATACATTAAGCTCCGATATTCTAGTAATTGAAGTGTTATTCATCCCTAACATTATGCCTTGTAATCTTGACACAAATCCTCATCTTGAAATTTTCTTCACTGGATTAAAGCTTCTCTAGTCTGCCACACACAAAAATTGTATCACATATAAATCTTTCTATGAAAGTACTATTGAAAGACTTGTATTTATAGGAAAAAATATAGCTTTGAAATATGAAGATTCAGTTACAAAGTTGAAAGGTTAAGTACTACAAAAATTAAAGACAAATATTAATTAAGAATATAAATTAATTTGAAAGATGAAACACATACCTGTAAAGGGATAGCTGTTATTTTTATTTTTTTTACTATTTAATTTACTCACATTTTTACCAATTAAAAATATTATATTCTATTATTTACTATTTAATTAATTAAATATTTTAATAACATTTGGATTTAGCATAAGGGTAAAATGATAATTCAATTTTTTTACCTTGAAATTTTCTTCACTTGATTAAAGCTTCTCTAGTCTTACACACACAAAATTTGTATCACATATAAATCTTTCTATGAAAATACTAATTGAAAGATTTGTATGTATAGGAAAAAATATGGGAAAATTACGCGATTAAGCAAACTTATACTACTTAATTACTCATCATAGCTATAGTTTGCTATAATTACCACTCACGACTAACATTATACATTAATTACGCGGGCTGACTTCGAGTTTGTATAATTAGTCATGTTTGTATATGTATAATTCGTCAGAATATACAAATACATATGTATAATATACAATTATTTAACCTATATACATATACAATTCACCTCTCTCCCACTCTCTGCCCTCTCTCGCTCGCCTCTCTCCTCTCTCTCCCAATCTCGCTTGCTACATATACAATTGCATATGTATAATATACAATTATCTAACATATATGCATATACAAATCACCTCTCTCTCCCTCTCTGCCCTCTCTCTCTCGCCTCTCTCCTCTCTCTCCCAATCTCGCTCGCCTCTCTTCTCCCTCTCCCAATCTCGCTCGCCTCTCTCCTCCCTCTCCCAATCTCTCTTGCCATATATACAAATATATATGTATAATATACAATTATCTAACCTATATACATATACAATTCACCTTTCTCCACTCTTTGCCCCCTCTCTCTCGCCTCTCTCCTCCCTCTCCCAATCTCGCTCGCCTCTCTCCTCCCTCTCCCAATCTCTCTTGCCATATATACAAATATATATGTATAATATACAATTATCTAACCTATATACATATACAATTCACCTTTCTCCACTCTTTGCCCCCTCTCTCTCGCCTCTCTCCTCCCTCTCCCAATCTCGCTCGCCTCTCTCCTCCCTCTCCCAATCTCTCTTGCCATATATACAAATATATATGTATAATATACAATTATCTAACCTATATACATATACAATTCACCTTTCTCCACTCTTTGCCCCCTCTCTCTCGCCTCTCTCCTCTCTCTCCCAGTCTCACTCGCCTCTCTCCTCCATATAACATGTAGCTACGAATTATAATTATCAAACTATAGCTATGGAGAGTAATTAGACTATTTTTGAGTGGCTATATGTGAAAGTTCCCCAAAAAATATAGCTTTGGAATATGAAGATTCACTTACAAAGTTGAAAGGTCAAGTATTACAACAAATTAAAGACAAATATTAATTAAAAACATAAATTAATTTGAAAGATGAAACACATACATGTATCTATTTAAAGGGACAACTTTTATTTTTAATTTACTCACATGTATACCAACTAAAAATATTATAGAAATTCTACTATTCACTGTTTAATTAATTAAATATTCTAATAACATTTGGATTTAGCATAAAGGTAAAATGGTAATTCAACTTTTTTACTTTGGAGCTTTCCACTTATAATAATAGATGATGATAATGATGATGTTGAAAGTTTAAAAAAGGATTCTAGGTTGTAAGGTGCTACAACATCTGGAGTTCCATTCCACAGTAGTTTTGTGTATTGTTGGTAGGCCAGCTCAGTGGGATGAAAAGAATCGAAAAACAAGTAATCTTTCACATTTTCACATAACTTGTACTCTTTTACCCGCCTCATCCCTCCACAACTAAGAATCCCTCGAAATGGACCCGTTCCACAACAAGCCGTCTCTGATATCTTAAAACCTAAACAAAGCAGAACACAATCAAATCATTGGTGCATAATATATAATCAAATAACCTTAGAAATACTTGATTTTGAGTTTGAAGAGATAGAAGATACCGTATTTTGTTGGATTATGAATACTATCTGCAAATACTTTGAAGAAGTTGAATATTGTATACTTAAATCCAGGCAATTGCTTCTCTAGTTGTTTGAACATTCTTGGGAGAGCTGAATTAAACATTTTCGCCTTGTTTGTGGCCTTCTCCATGCAACTTCCATTTTTAACTCCTTTTTGAAGGTTGAGAGCCCTCATAGAAGGGAGACAACCTAATGGACCCAAATTAAACATCACAAACTTTCTCCCTCCTTGTTTATAAACTCCCTGTTGCATCCATTCATTTAAACGCGAGTTAATCACTTGTACGTCCATTTATTAATTCAATTCAATTTGATATGCAAGTTAGGCTCTAAATTGACATATCAGAAATTTTGTCAAAATATTCTCTTTTAATACCATCAAACTTGTCTATAACATCAATAGAAGAAGATCAATATTAATTACCTTTAAAACAGAAGTCAAATTTCCCATAACCATGTGTAGATATTCTGTATCGGAATATGGAGAAGTCAAATTTGCTAATAAAGGGAAAAGGAAATCATTATTGGCAGTGCTAAAAATATATACAGCATTGGAGAGGATCTGTTTCGACTCTGTTTCACCCACTTTCTTCTGCAACAGTTTTCCCACATTTTGGAATAATTTCAACTGACTTTTTAGAATCTGTCAAATGGAAACCAACATTTAAAATTCAAACAAGAATTACAATAAAGGAAATATATTGTGGCTTACAATGGCACGACTAGTTTCAGCCAAAATACCAGAACTGCCTGATGCAAAGTTTACTCCATGAACCAAATGTTTCTTCCCAATTTCAAAATACGGCGGAATAAATGGCAAATTAGCATATTCAGCCATAAATAATGTTTGAGTCAGCTTGCTTATAAGTTGATTATTTTCAAAGAACGCAAATAAATTTACCGATAAAATCAGGAATCAGGCGTCCATTAGACGCCCTGCCAGTAGGGTGCTTAAAGAATGATTCTCCATAAGGAAAGTAATTACTTCCCCGCAAGTCAGCAGTGGTGTTGATGTACTTATTATTTCCAGAATCGAAAATCGAATCACCGAACACAAAAAGGGCAGCTTGATGAGGTCTTTCATGGCACACAATTGGTGTGGCAAAATGTGTAACCAAAACAAAGATGCACAAACTTGACATCAAAGCCATTAGATTATTACAAGTTTGGTTTATATTTGCATAGAACTGGAAATATGTTTATATAGTACTAAAGGTCTGCAAAATGATATTTTTTTTAAAAACGTCTCTGCATCCACTATCGACTCGACGTGAAGACAAAGTTTGTTTTCAATGTCAACTGAGTTATGAAAGAAATCAGATATTCACATTAATACTAATTTATACTCCCTCAGTTTAAGACGGGGTTTAAAAAATAAATATTTTATTTTTTAGAATTTGTGTTTTAGTACTTATATTTTTTTTTCACATTCCCTTCAGTTTTTTGTTTCCTTTCCATCCTTTTTTTATACATCAGAAAGATATTCGTATCTCTTCAAAAATAAAATCAAAATAAATGTTCATAAAAAAGATTCTTTAAAAAAATTCAATTGAACCAAACACTTGACACCACATTCCCTAAGATTATGTGATTTAATTAATGCAAGTTACTATTCCCACCAGTCCCAATTAGTTGTTCTGTTTCTTTTTCTTTTTTTAAGAATTAAACTATTGTAACTGATCAATATTTTAAAACGTTTCATCAAATTGACATGAGAAATATTATAACTAGTATTTTTTTCCTACAATTTTTGAATATATAAATTTTAATTTTAAAACATTGAGTTAATTTTATTCAGTTTAGCTTAAAAAATAAGTCAAATTAAATACAACAAAGAGAAACATGACTACTAACTTGTGACCGAACAAGTATTTGTTTAATAGATTTTGATCTGGCAGACGTTGGGAATAAGTAAACGAGTATCAAATAAATCACATTTTTTTGCTTAAAAAAATAGCATATGTTTAATTTGGAGTAGTTTTATATATGTACTTTTGATTCTTCAATTTGTTAGTTCACGTGTATTCTTTACCAACTAACCTTTCTTAAAATAGGTGTTATTGGTTTCAAGAATAAATTAGAGTTAGTATTATATATTTTTGGTAGGTTTGCTCAGAGGGATGAGTGGAGTCAAAAAAAACAAGAGTTAATATCTCAGATGGTCACTCAACAATGCACTCTTTTCGTAGAAAGTCACTCAACTTTGGTATTTAACTCAAAAGTCACTCAACTATGAGTTTTTTCTAAGAAAGTCACTCAACTATGAGTTCTTTTCTCAGAAAGTCACTCAACTTTGATTTTTAACTCAAAACTCACTTAACTATGAGTGTTTCACTTACAAAGTCACTCAATCTATTTAATTGATTTTTTTCATTAAAACTTACACACATGAAATTTTTATTTCTAACTAAAATTATAAAAAAATAAAAAAAATATTCATTTAGACCATTTAATAACCTGATCCGTTGAAAATATATATTTTAATGATTTAATTATTGTTTTCAACTAAATTTACTAACATGAACTTTTTGAAAAAAAAGAAAGATATTCATTTAAACCATTTAATTAATTTAACTCTAGCACTCTAAAATCAATAACATGTAAACACCATTTTACCAAAATAAAAATAAAAATGTAAAGACCAAATTTTAATTAACTTAACGGTAGGAGAAACATTAGTGACAAATTCAAGTCAGTTTTTTTATCACTTCCTTTTGTTCCTTCATTATGCATCGTTGTTAGAAGTTCTGCATTTTTCTATCCTAATATTCTAAAATTTTGAATTTACTGAAAAAGTAATTTTGTAACTTTTACATTTTATGAGCAATGCATGGAGATCGATGTATTCACACACAATTGGAGAACAGGGGTGCGGATCGGATTATTAAATGAATATCTTTTTAATTTTTTAACATTTTAGTAAGAATTAAAAATTTCATGTTTGTAAATTTTAATGAAAAAAATTAATTAAATAGATTGGGTGACTTTGTAAGTAAAACATTCATAGTTGAGTGACTTTGTAAATGAAACACTCATAGTTGAGTGACTTTTTGAGAAAATGACTCATAGTTGAGTGACTTTTAAGTTAAAAACCAAAGTTGAGTAACTTTCTGAGAAAATAATCCAAAGTTGAGTGACCATTTGAGATATTATCTCCAAAAAAAAACAAGTAATCTTTCACATTGTTAGTAATGTGAGATGTCCAAAAGAGCAACATAGGGGACCTTTGTCATATTTTCCAACGGCAACAGACACATATTGCTAACAAGAGTTGCAATTCTCTTCTTACTCCATTCTTCCTTGCTATCAATTTCTTTACGATCAATTGAATTATTCACTTGAAGTATCAATGAATAGTGATAGTAGCTCGCCTTTCCCCAAGTCTCTCCATTGAAACTGATATCGGCCAATTACAATCACGCACTCTCTGATTTACAGTAAAACTTTTCGACATTATCAAATGGAGTTCAGGTATAACCTCATGCCCTGCAACCACACACTTGTTCAAGAGGATAAACAAAACTAATGCAGTATCTAAACCATGATGTAATCTATGGCGTGCAGCCCACTCTATCATCTCAAGGACCCATAAAGTGTGTAACCTGCAGAAGGTAAACTTCGCCTTATATCCACTCCTTAATACTACTACTTTCCACTCGAGTAACATGGTAGCAAGGACAAGTATATAGTGAAGATGTAATTATTTTTGTTCTTTAATGTTTCTAAAATGAGTAGCTGACCTTAAGACTCGCCCATTTACTTTAATTATTGGAGTTCGAAAGAGGAAAATTGAACTAATTAGCAGGAGAACTACCTGTAGCCACATTAAGATGTTCTTAATTGAACTTGATAAGTGCTTATGCTTCTTGATGTTTTGATCTCCTTACAAGTACAGGGACCAATACTCGTCCAATGGTCAAAGTGCTGTATAGCTGGAAAGCTGTCTGCGTCAGAAGGTTGGTGAAGCTGCAGAGTACTCCACCAATCAGAAGCAACGAGGTTGCTTGTTCACTGGATAATAACTTTTCATGTCTAAATATATCCAAGAACAAACAAGAAATTATTCATTCACTCAAAAAGAGAGATATTTCAAGCTTCAAAACAGCAGGGACCTGATCATTGTTTCAAGTGCTTCCTGTTCTAGCTGTTACTTTGTTTGCTTGTAATAGTGCTTATATTGTAGGATTCGTTTCACTTGTGAAAGAAACGTTTCAAGTTTGGGTGAATCATTGTAAGAACTAGGTTAAGGGTAACTTAGTGTCTTACTCTAAAGTCTATATTAATCGGTCAGGATTAGTATAGTGGGCAGTGTTGTATCTGCTTAGTCAAAGTCTAAATCATCTAGGAGCTAGTTGATTTAGTGGGCGGTGTGGTATCCGCTTAGCAAAGTCTAAGTTATCTAGGGGTGATAGCTTAGTGGGTAGTGTTGTATCTGCTTTGGCTCATCTAAGTAATAGGTGTTATTGCTTAGAGTTGAGATTAGTAGGCTAATCTCAGTTTGTAAACTTGCTTTTACTTTTACTTGAGAAGATTAGTGAAAGCAGTTTTTTGAAAAGTCCTGGCAGGCCAGGTCGTGGTTTTACTCCCTTGAGCAAGGAGGTTTCCACGTAAAGTTGTTGTGCAATCTTTACTTTCAGCACTTTGTTTATTTTCTGTTATTGTAACTGTGCTGAGGACCTGGTCCCATCTAGACCAGTGGACGCATACATTCCAACAGAACTAGAAATAACCAATTAGGTAGTCTTGTTGGTGTCTGCGAGGAACTAATTTAGAATCATTATTAGAGTGTGTTTTCCCTTGTATACAATGCTTGTGCTCGTTGATCATTTAGGGGGGGGGGGGGGGGACTGTATGAACTTTTTTAACAAGTAATCAAGCTTAGAATAATAACAGTTTCTATGTCAAAATTAGAAATTGAACACTAAAGTTGGACAAATAGAATTTACATAAACTATAAGAAACATCAACCAAAAGGACTAAGAAGCAGAGCACAAAAACTCTTGATATTGTTTCAAAAACTGATCCTAGCTAGTTGTACTCATATTACTACTTCGAGAACAATTAACATAATTTTTTCTGGACTTCGTTTTTAATGCATAAATACAATAATCTCTAAAATTAGAGTTTTTAACTTTTTAAGAATAGCTTCGCAAAAGACATATTCCTTCATGTGCCACTTTCCATCATCAGGACAACACATCTTAGTATCATAATTGAAACTCTTCTTGCGTCCCATATTCAAAAGGTTGCTCTGTTTACTCCTAACCCATTTCCTCTTATCTTGCTGTTTCCAAGTCCCAAGATTTTTACCCACAACTCTGCAAAATCTCTTGTTACTTTTATTCTTCTTATGCCTCGGAGAAATAAAGTATCGAAAAATATTAGTATCCCCATCGTCTTCTCCTCTGTAATGAGGCCCATAGCGCCATAAGTTACCCATTGTTCTTGTTTGTAATCATCACACTCCGTAATAAAACTATTGTCACACAAATCTTTTTCAGTGATAAACCTAAGAAGGTATGTGCTCTGAATCTCTTGGATGAAATCGATACCCTTCTTCTTCAAACTCCATCACTCTTTCTTGTGTATGATATAATTATTTTTCAAAGATGGAAGAGACTATATATGGGGGCTGAGAGACTTTTGAGAGTATACTTTATACAACAAAAAGTAATAAGGTTGAAGGGAATGGGAACAATTGTACGAATCAAGTATATTTATAGGCTAGCTAGTCAATTCTTGGCTTGATCGGAAACCCAATTGGCAACAAATTAGGAAAAATAAATATTTAGAAACTTACCGCTGTGTGTAACCCCTAGTCCCCTATTAATGATCCGTTAATATAATTATTAGCTTAAATAAATAATTAGCTAATTATCAAATACTATAGTTTTTTGAGCTAATTATTAAAAATTACAGTTAGATAACAGAAAACCCAATTGGTATTAACTTCGGAAAACTAAATATTTAGTAACTTACCATATCCAACAATATAACAATATTTAGAAACTTACGGTTATTTTTGTCTTTTTTAACTAACATTTTTTAACAATAAAGCAATATTTTGAAACTTAAGATTTTAGTTTTTTTTTTAAAAAAAAAACATTTTTTGTAAAAACTTACTATTTTTATTTTATATCTAGAAATAATTTTCAATTTGATATATTCCTCTGGTGGAAATACTTAATAGGCAAATGACATAATTCTTGAATAGTTACAAATGACAATCATTTCTTCATTAAGTGGACGTATGATTTCAGAAACATTTTGAATGTGTCTGGTCTAACTGGTGCAAAAATCACCTTTTCTGCTTGAAGAAACAAAGTTACAAATTGAAGCTCATGTTTAATTAGGTTTTGAGTGTAACCCTCACTCCAATAACTAGATAAAAAGGAGGGGGATTTGTAACATCCGGCAATTTGAAATAACTATGAAGAGGCTTAGAATTGGAAATAGTCATTTTTGGAAGGAATTAAAAATCTGGAAAATTTGGTTAAGTATGGGAAAAAGTGAGTTTTTGGCCAACTTTGAATAGTTATAACTCTTATCTCAGGATGATTTAGGTGTAGTTCCAGTTATTTTTGCAAAGTTCGTGGAATGTTCTTTCCAACGCCGCTGAGTTCACTCAATTCTGAGTTTGTATGAGTGAGTTATACCCTTTGGAAGTTGGGCTGTTGGCAGGGCAGTTAACCCGATTTTGTAAGGGTATTTTGGTCTTTTCCCTAGCCTTTTCTTTTGGATATATATTAAGGTGTTAGACTGATTTTAGATCAGTTTTTCCCTTTTTAAAAGAGTGAGGGTGAGGGTTTGTGAGTAAAGAGGAGAAGAAGGGGAGAAAGAGAAGATCAAGCAAGGTTTCATCAAAGATCGTCGTGGATATCGTCGGGGGTGATCCCTACTAGGTATGTGAGTTCATAGTGTTGGGTTGGTTCTTTCCCCCACACGCCAAACTCGTTTAATTTCGAGAAAAGATTGATTGTGTTTGTTGAAGTTGTTGATAGTGTTTGTTGAAGTTGTTGGTTGTGATTGTGTTGAAGTTCTTGTTGATTTTGGGGCATGTTTCCGGGTTAAATCTATTGTATGTTGAGGGGTTTTATGATTCTAAGTGTTTGGGGCTGGAACCATTGAAGTTAAGGAGGTTTAGAGTTGGAAAAATGAAGGAGAAAAGTCGAAATTTCGGAAAAAAAGGGTTGGGGCGTCGCGCCAGCCAGCGCGCCCCAAAAGGGGCTCTGAAACCCAGCCCTTGGGGCAGCGCGCCTAGCAGAGCTCCAGCAGGCCCCTTCTGAGCTTTGTGGTCTGGCGCCCCGCGCCTCTCAGAGCGCCAAGGACGCCAACCTTTCCCATTCATTCCCCACTTTTTCTTACATGTTCCTTGGTGATGTACCTATGTTTTATAATTGTTTTCAACACTCTAAGGTACATCTAGACATCCCGAACTCATCCATAAACATGAGATTATTACCCTTGAATTCATAATCCAATTCGAGGAAAGTTCGGATCAAAGTCAAGTGAAGTTAGAGTCAAGTCTAGAAGTTAAGAAGTAAGTCAAAGCAAGTCTTCAAAGTTTTTCATGAGTCTTTGTTGAACGTTTTAACTTCATTTTAAGGCTCAAATTTCAAGTTGAGTAAAAAGTATAGAGTTTCAAGTTAAGCCAAGAGTATAGAGTTGAGTTCATTTCTCAAAAGTATTAGGGAACTAAGTATTCCCCAAAGAAGTTTATAAATGTTTTCACATTTGAGTAAGAGAGGAACTATGATTCCAAAAGAGCCTTTGGGCTAGTTTTCAAGAAAAGGGAACATCGATTCCAAGTGAGCCTTTGGGCTAGATTTTGAGCAATTATCTCAAACTAAAGAAAGATGTGTTTTAAACACTTATGAGCCAAAGTATATTTTTGGGAGTAGTTTTGAGCACTGAATTGGGGACACGAGTTCATATTAACTCAACTCTCCATAAGAACCATGTAGCCAAACATGGGAATTAACGGGTCATTCTTTTTAGATGATCACGTAAGATTAAGCTAGTGGATCCACTAAGTTAAGTAAGGTCCTATATCACGACAAGGTATAGGATGGTCCTTGGGCAACGTGAGGTAAAATATTGTATCATCACTAAGGCTCATAGTGGTGGTTGTCGGTTAAAAAATCTTCCACTAAAGTTATATTACTTTTATATAAGTAAAGTTGAGTTTGTTATCGTTTTATCCTTAACGAACTAAGTTGTTTAAAGTGTTTTACAAGCTATTTATGTATTGCATGTGTCTTATTGCTTTACATTTGAGTTCAGTTATTCATGAGTTGAACAGAGCTAAGGTAAGTGTTCACTTGTACTCCTTTCAAGCTTAAGTTGTTGCTTAGTTTTTCAGCTCGCATACTCGTACATTCAATGTATTGATGCCAGTTGGTCTGCATCTTATGACGATGCAGACATAGGTACCCAGGATCAGCATCCAGCACGCCGTTGATCCAGTTGAGCACTCCAGAGTCAATGGTGAGCCTCTTTGCATTCCGGAGGACTCGGTTATTTTGTTCTCTTAGTTTTGTTTTATTAGGATGTTGCGGGGTCTGTCCCAACATCCATCTCAGTGTTATAGAGACTTCATAGACGGTCAGTCAGTTAGTTAGTTTTAAGTTTCTCATCTATGTATATATGTAAATATTCTATTTTGAGACTCGAGTTGCTTTTTTGGGCCAGATTTTATCAGTTAAGTTGTTTTATGTCCTTGCATGGCATGAAGTTATTCTGTTGAGTTATGTTTCCGCTGAGTTAAGAAAGTCAGGCCAAGGGTTCGCTTGGGGCCAGCAATGGTCTTTGAGTGCCAGCCACGTCCAGGGTGTAGGCTCGGGGTGTGACAAGATTGTCCAAGCCTTATTGTTAACTAGTGTAAATGGTTAAGAAAGCTATATGGTTGAGTTAGTTAACCAATTAGTAAAAAGTTAGTTAGAAAGATGCCCTGTTGGCATGAGTTAGTTACTGCATTTATTTGTAGTATAAATATACCCTATGTACAGATACATTGTATCAAGTCACATTATACAATCAATACAACTCTCTCTTCTTCCTCTCTTCTAGCTATGGTGTTTAAGCTTGAGCTATGAAGCTTTCACTTATAATGAGACTTGTTATCTCATTAACCACCAATGTGAAATTTTTTTCATTCTTCAACACTTTGAAACTACATTCCTTGTGCGAAAACACAGTAATCGGGTTATAAAGGATAAAACAATCAACAAACACGTTTTCTCTCTTCTTCAAATGTATAGGAAGGCAGAAAAGGATTGTTCTTGATGTTCTTCTTCAACTTTTTTGGAACTTTGGTTTTAGCAGAGGACTGATTATGTCTGCTATCTGATCACATCCATCTTTTCAAGTTCTAACGATGGTGCAACACCAGACTACAAAGATGGGATCCTTTGTTAATCTCATTGACTTTCTTCCCAAATCAAACAATATTTATACAACTGAAATATATTTACATTGCATGATTCCATCTATTTATCGACTTTAATTTGTTCAATCATGACGACTCAGATATGAAGTCATCTCATCAAATCTAAAGATCATCTCTTTATAAACTGAATACAATAAGAACAGAAAAATTACTAGAGATCAAGCTCTTTATCATCACATGTTTCACATTGTTTATTCTTCGTATAGTAGGAATTGTGAGGTGCTACAACATTTGGAGTTTGAATGTTTAAAAAAGGATTTTAGGTTGTGAGGTGCTACAACATCTGGAGTTCCATTCCACAGCATTGTTGGTAGGCCAGCTCAGTGGGATGAACAGAGTTGAAAAACAAGTAATCATTCACATTTTTATATGACTCGTACTCTTTTACCAGCCCCTTCCCTCCACAACTAAGAATCCCTCGAAACGGACCAGTCCCACAACAAGCCACCTCTGATCGGAAACCATCATACGTAAGTTCCTTGTAGATTGGAGCGAGTTAGGAGCTTACATTTCAATATGATATATGCCTATTGTGGTCTGTGGAAACACTTAATAGACGAATGACATAATTCCCAAAAAGTTGCTATCGACTCTGTGTAATGACAATTTATTTTTGAATTTTATTTTATCTTCACTATGATCATATCCCTAATCGAAGAGACATTCAATCACAAATCTTTCTCCAATTGCATATGCAACTGAAAATGTACATTACATGTTCCAACTAAAGATTGAGTACTCTCTATAAATCAAACACATGATAAGAAATATCAGTAGATATATATGAAGCTCCTTAACATCAAGTTTTACATTTCTCTCTTCTTTCATTTAGCAGGCATTAAAAATACAATTCCATCATCAGGTTAGGTTGAAAGTTTAAAAAAGGATTTTAGGCTGTAAGGTGCCACAATGTCTGGAGTTCCATTCCACAGTAATTCCGTGTATTTTTGGTAGGCCTGCTCAGAGGGATGAGAAGAGTCGAAAAACAAGTAATCTTTCACATTCTGACATAACTCGTACTCTTTTACCTGCCTCTTCCCTCCACAACTAAAAATCCCTCGAAATGGACCCGTTCCACAACAAGCCGTCTCTGATATCTTAAAACCTAAACAAAACAGAGCAAAATCATATCATTGGTGCATAATATATAATCAAACATAAAAATACTTGATTTTGAGTTCGAAGAGATACCGTAATTTGTTGGATTATCAATGCTATCTACAAGTACTTTGAAGAAGTTGAATATTGTATACTTAAATCCAGGCAATTGCTTCTCTAGTTGTTTGAGCATTTCTGGGAGCGCTGAATTAAACATTTTGGCCAAGTTTGTGGCATCCTCCATGCAACTCCCATTTGTAACTCCTTTTTGAAGGTTGAGATTCCTAATAGAAGGGAGACAACCAAATGGACCCAAATTAAGCATCGCAAACTTTCTCCCTCCTTCCTCGTAAACTCCCTGTTGCATTCATTCAAACAAAGTACAAGAAAATAGTTTAGTTAGAGGTAGTAAATATGAAAACATGATCCGTCAACGAGTTAATGACCTGCCCATTTATTAATTCAATTCAGTTTGGCATTCCTGATTCAGCTGACCTAAACGTTAGGCTGATATAAAATCTAAATTGAAACATCAGAAGCCTTATCAAAATATTTTCTTTTAATCCAGTCAGACTTCTCTATAACAACATCTTTACATGTACAATTTTCTTATATATGATCATAATAAAGATTAATATTAAGTTAATTACCTTTAAAACAGCAGTCAAATTTCCCATAATCATCTGCAGATATTCTCTATCGGGATTTTGAAACGTTGAATTTGTTAATAAAGGTGTAAAATCATTAGTGCCAGTGCTAAAAATATATACAGCATTGGAGAGAATCTGTTTGGACTCTGTTTCACCCACTTTATTCTTCAACAGTTGTGTCACGTTTTGGAAATTTATCAACTGAGTTTGAAGATCTATAACCTGTCAAATGAAAACCAAAGTTTTTTTTTTTTTTAAATAATTCCACCTAATATCAAATTCAAACAAGAATTACATAAAAGTAAATATTGTTACTTACAAAGCCACGAGCGGTTTCAGCCAAACAACCAGAACCGGCTGAAGCAAAATTCACCCCATGAGTGAATTGTTTCTTTCCAATTTCAAAATACGGCGGAATTAATGGCAAATTAGCATTTTCAGCTGCAAAATATACAACCAATAACATCAAATAAGTTAGATTATTTTACTGAAAATCTACTACCTCCCTATGAATTGACGAAAGTGCGAATAAATTTACCAATAAAATCAGGAATGAGGCGTCCATTGGAGGTCCTGCCAGTAGGGTCCTTGAAGAATGATTCACCATACGGCAAATAATTTGCTTGGAAGCTAGCAATGGTGTTGATGTAATTATTATTTCCAGGATCAAAAATTGAATCACCGAACACGAAAAGGGCAGGTGTTTGATTAATAGGGCTGCGAATACACACAATTGGGGTGGCAAAATGTGCAACCAAAACAAAGATGCACAACCTTGAGATCAAAGCCATTAGAGTATTATAAGTTTGGTTTATATTTGCATAGAATTGGTATTATATATAAATACTAGTGATGTGCAGAATGATTTTATAAAAAAAAAAATATAAATAAATAAAAAGGTGTGCATCCACTATCGACTCGACGTGAAGACTTAGTTTGTTTTTCATTTGTATTGAAAAAGTGTTGGCTGTTTGACAATTATTTTTGGCTAGTAAATGTTGGGATATGTGAGCATATGTTTTGTAAATAGTATATATTGATGTGGCTCAAAATAATGTAATTATTTTTATTGAAGAAGGTGTTTTTTTTTTTTTGGAGTTTTGGACTCTTCAATAAATTTGAAGTTGTTTGAGTCATATGACGTTGTTAGAGGGGAGAGACCAAGATATATTGTTGGATCAGTGTAGAATATATATTAGTGGACTTGAATGTCCTTAAAGAGAGCGAGACTGGTAGAGCTCCTCTTTGTCAGCGGCATTCTCCCTTCTATCTATCAACCATTTCATTATGGAACTTTCTCCAACTCGAGGGGATTCACGATCCACTGTACCTCGAGGTCATAGTCAAGGGCCACCTTGAACCAAAGGAATTTGATCCTTCCGCTCTCGGGGAGGTCTTAAAAAGTCTCTTTACCGAGAAGCATAATTCTCCCTTCTAAGAGGATGTTAAGACCGCTCAAGCAGACCATTTCTGGGTGGCGCATCAACGTACTCTTGAACGAGTGATAGCCTTATACGTGTTTCAACCTGAATATTATTTATTATTATTATTTTATCATTTTATTTTCAATTGTTATTTATTGTATTTTGTGGTATATACATCAATAACTTTAAGGAAATTCAATTTTTATTACAATTTGAAAAAAGTGCGGGCATCAGTGTAGAAGATCTCAATATTATTTCGGTTGGACGTTGCTAGATCTCTTCAAGAGATGGACGGATAAAATATTTCTCCTTGCTCAAGCGGAGAAAAAATAAAAACTTTTTACCTTATATTTTTGAGATCATATGAGATTTGATTTTATTCTAATTGCTTCATTTCTATAGTATTTCTTGTGATTTGACTTGATTCTGATTCAATTCTTGATACTGTATTGTTGCATGTTTGCTTTTACAAGACATACTACTAAAAAAAGGCCTGTTTGGAGTTGGACAGAGCAAAATGTCACAGAGAAATAGTCATGACTTTTTTACAAGTACAGTAACCTCTCTAAACTAATATTTGATAAATTGCTTAGATCTTTAAAGATAATATTTTTCTTCAATTGCAAATTGGATAAGTGGAAAAGAAATTATTTCGATAATTTAGAAGAAAAATAGTACATAAGGAATCTCAACCTATATATGTACTATTTTTCTTCTAAATTACTTAACTATGATTAAACTTTTTTCCTTCAATTAATTAAGAATTGCCGGTAACAGTTCAGCAAAGAAAGACAATTTATTTCTATATTATAGCAACTAGAGAGTGATGCTATTTTGATTTCCCCATAAGGATGATCGAGTTGATTGAGTAAGAGATCTTCCAAATGTGGGGTCTCAACTTTGAAACTTTCTGAATAATTTTTCGATCAAGCTCGTTGTGCGGAAAAAAAAAAAGGGAAGCCTTCTTAGTTTTTTTCACCTTACCTTCGATTTTTTTTGGTTTCCTCTCCTCCCTCTATTTTATGCATCAGAAAGATATTCGTATCTCTTCAAAATATGTAATTAAAATAAATGTTCATAAAAAAAGATTCTTTAAAAAATGGAAGTCATATTCCCTAAAAAAAAATTTCAATTGAACCAAACACTTGACGCTACATTTCCTAAGATTATTTGATTTAAAACAAAACTACTCCCACCTGTCCCAATTAGTTGTCCTATTTCTTTTTTTTTAAGAGTTAAACTATGGGAAGTTGGTAACTGATCAATATTTTAAAATGTTTCATCAAATTGACATGAGAAATATCGTAATTTTTAGAAATTTTTCGTATAGTTTTTGAATATATAAATTTTAATTATAAAATATTAAGTTAATCTTATTCAATTTACCCTTAAAAATCAGTTAAATCAACTGCAACAAAGCGAAACATGACCACTAATTTGTGACGGAACGAGTATTTGTTTAATAGATTTTGATCTGGCAGTTGGGAACAAGTAAACGAGTATCAAATAAATCACATTTTTTTTTGCTTAAAAAATAACATCGTTTTATTTGGAGTAGTTTTATATATGTACTTTTGATTCTTCAATTTTTTAGTTCACGTGTATTCTTTATCAACTATTCTTTCTTAAAATAGTCGTTATTGGTTTGAAGAATAAATAATAGTACCAAACACATGGATAAGTTTCTTTGTATCTTTTTATGCAAGATTCTTTCACTTTCAATGCCGCACCCGTATTGGATTCTCCAAGAATATGTTGGGTTATGAAGGGTGATTAAGGCGTCATGCGGAAACTTACAAATTGCAAATCATATGGTTGATAAATCAGACGACAAAAACTTATACTAAAAACATAATATTATTATATGAAAACTAATATAAAAGAAAAATATTATAAATTTTTTGAGAGAATAAATCTCCCCACAAACAAGACTCTTAAACGACTACATTGTGTGGATGTTATTGTTATTGTGTTAGAAGAAACAAACTTATATTTATAGAGTCCTAAAACCTTTCCTACTAGACAAGAACTAACTACTCCAAAACCTTTTCCTAAAAGGAAAGAATAAACTAAATATGAAAGAACATTATATTTTCCTTTCAGGAAAAGTAAAAATATTTATGGTAATGTTTTGTCTTTTCTTTAAGGAAAAATAAATCTTAAATTATGGTAAGAAAATCAGGGCAAAACCCTAACAAAATACACTATTTTGGTGAATCCGACACGCATCCTTTGACATTTTTGAAGAGTCCGAGCAACATAGACATCAACTCCCAGTCTAGCATTTTCCCGCTTCTCTTTCAGGTGAGTAACTCTTACACATATATTTACATTGATTTAGTATTTTAGAGTAAACCTCGACAACTCTAATCTACATTTGCGTTCATCATCTTAAGGTGCAATAATGGATGAAAACAGAGAAAGAAAAGTCGTTGTTGTTTTACTTGAAAATAAATAAATAAAAGAAAAATAACTAAGTTTTCAAAAAATCGATTAAACTTGTGATTTAAGAGAAATCGAATTTCCAAAAGAACAGAGTCGTCACTTAATGTTAAGTAAAAATCAAGAAAAAACTTAAAGTTTTCAAAAGACTTAAACATATAAAATCAGTTGAAAATAAAGGGGTTCGAGTTCAAATGTACATTTCGAGAAGGTGTTAGGTCCTCGAAATGTCCGCTAACTTGCGGTTGACCGGCGATTTGACTAAAATGACTTTGACTAATTTTTTAGAAAATATCAACTAAGAAAACTCATTTTTTATTATTGTTTTTTAATTATTATTATTATTGTCATTTTAATTATCTTAAAGGGAAATGAACTAAAGGGAGGATTTTTCTAAAGGGGAATAACTTAAGTGTTGACAAAAAATAATAAAATAAAGCTAAGTATGAAATATAAATATTTTAATTTGAGTATATAAAAAGTGAAATGACTATCTTTGGGAATTTAATTAAATTAAACCATAACATAAATACAGTTAGTCAATATAACAAGTAATTAAAGAGCAAAGGGAAGAAATATCAATTGGGCCTTTGACTCAAATTCGTGAACCTGTCCTAATACTAAAAATGATCCAAAACATGAATTTGGGCCTATTTAATTAAAATCCTGCAGCTGTAAATTTTGGGCTTTGGCCCACTTTTCTGTCACCTGGACCTGCTGGAAATGGGTCAAGGCCTTTGGGCCTATTTGCCTTCAGAAAATCTGTGTATATTCTTTACGGAAAAGGGTCAAAATTGCCCCTGAACTATGCGAAATAGACCACTTATACCCTCCATTCCATTTTGGGATCAAAAATACCCCCGCAGTTATCCCAGGAGACCACAAATACCCTCAAGAGTTAACACCCCAATTTTTTAGTTACGTGGCAAGCCACATGGGACTAATCCCTCCACCTAAGCATTGCCAACTAAGATTCACTACAAAATAACTTGACTTTTAGTGGCGACAAAGTCGCCACAAAATCCCAAAATATTGCCACTAAAGGTTATGAGTGATTTTTAGTGGCGACTAAGGCTCCAACAACCATTCGCTAGTAAAACCTATTTTTTCAACAAAAAAATATGATAATTAATTTTCGATTGCGACCTAATTTTCCAAAATAAATAACTTGCAACATCCATATTAAAAACATCCAATATTATTACGAAAAATAATCAAAATTACTTCTCGATTCAAATCTCCTACTATATATATATAATGCATCATTGTACATTTTATACATTTACATATGACATAAAAATAAAACATATAGTGTCTTCAAACTCCTACTTAATCGATATCATATTTGGTTTTTTAAAAACAATGAAGAAAAAAACACAAAATTAGAATTTAATGTTAAAAACTTTTAGTGACGATTTTCTGGGCTTTTGTGGCGACTGTTGTTGTCGCTAAAGGTCTAGTTCTTTTGTAGTGAATCCTAGTTGACAACGCTTAGGTGGAAGGATTAGTCCCACGTGGCTTGCCACGTCAACAAAAATTTGGGGTGTTAACTCTTGAGGGTATTTGTGGTCTCTTAGGATAACAACAGGGACATTTTTGATCCCAAAATGTAACGAAGGGTATAAATGATCTATTTCATATAGTTCAGGGGCAATTTTGACCCTTTTCCGTATTCTTTATGTATATCACTGTATACGGGACATATTTAGGCTCGTTTGCGTGTATATTGGGATATATATCGAATGTATGCAGCCCACTTCAAATTTCCAGCACCTGTATCGTCATTCCAGACCTGTATATCACTGTTCTTTCCATGTATACTTGTGTATACACTTGTATACATCCTATATACGGCCCTCTTTTAGGCTTTTTGGGATCTGAAAACTCAGTTTCCAGCCACATGTACTGCTTTCCACCTGTTCATC